GTTCCCAAACTTTGCAGCTTCTGACCTACTAAATAAAAATGTAAGACCCAAACTCTTTGTTGCATCAACTAAATATTGGGCAAAGGCTGTGAATCCCTCTGATCATGTGCTATCTTACTTTTTTTTGTTTTACATCCATCCATCCGTTTTCAGTTAATAACAAATGTGGATAAAGTGAAACATGGTGAATACTCTTCACATGCACTGTGCATATCCTGCAGAGAATAGACACTTTTCTTAGAAAGGAAAATCACACTAATTACTGATATAGCAAAGAAAATATGAGGAATATGTAAAAATTTTGCCTGTGTGTATAAATACTTGTAAAATCCAGTTTATCTGCTGTGTTACATAATCAATCAAATCAATCAAATTTTATTTGTATAGCACATTTCAGCAGCAAGGCATTTCAAAGTGCTTTACATAATTAAAATAAAAACAGCATGTGAGAAAGAGTTTAAAAAAAAAAAAAAGAAAAAAAAACTTTGAGGCATAAGACACTTAGATCGTTCCAAACACACACCATTTGACTCGTGTGTGTTTGGTCCTGATAAATAATTAATGACGCTTCACAACAGAGAGGCTATGGTTACAATGAACGCATGAATGATTTAATGATCCAATGTACGACAATAAGTCAGAGGGGTTTCATTGTCTCAAATGTAAGATGGACACAACTGTTATACATTTTGAATGAGTATTTCAAAATCTTATAATATGGTGCATGTTACATTTGCAGTTGTCTATAATATCTAAACGTGTAAAGAAGATATGCTGTAATTCTTTAAAATTGGGTTGCATTTGCCCAAAATATTGGGTTGTTTTTAGGAAATCAGTTTTTTTTTTTTATTTACTTATTTTTATTTCACTGTAAGGAATGTTACATTTTGAATTCACCCAGACATTAGACATATTTATTTCTAAGTTATTGTGAAATTTGAGTCCATTAAAATGAGAATCAGCAAATAAGCGCATTTCTAAGAAAACCATGAAGATTATAAAAGGCAGAATGTGTAGGCTATAAAATATTATTATTTTAAAACATGTCTAAATGCATGAAAGGCTTTAAATATAACATGAAATCAGCAAAGTTTCCTATTAAGAACCACAAAAATACAATAAAAATTCAAGATTGCTAAAACAGTTCTATTAATTTCTTGCCCACATTAACTTTGAGGCAGTGGTGGTCTTTCTGCACAATTAAAACTCTACCCACATATTTAGAAGTCCAAATGAAAATTGGTAAAAAAAAAAAATAAAAATAAAAAAGTGACTGTAAAATATCTCTTACTGCTGTTTAGGTCTATGAGGAAGACCCTTTTTAGGTGTTTGTGGTAGACTAACGCTGCATGAACCCGAGAGCAGGACTGATGGTCGATGGTGAAGTCGCACCAGTCGGGATTCCTTCCAAACAGGTAAAACTTCTTTTCATCTATGATCAGTTTCTGTAAGGATATAAAGTATTTGTGAATAACACACTGAAAGCACATCTAAATCGGGTCATCCTGATGCATCTGTGCCTCTGAGTTATAACTCTTCAGTGTTGCTTCCACTGAAGGGCTTAAATCTCATGGCTGATGTTGCTCTCGCACCGTTTGAAGCCAAGCAGCCACAGAGGAACCCCACATCTGGGACACAGCAGACTGTCAGACTCGTATCTGGTGCACATTGCTAACATTAAAACGACCACCGTTAACCTACATCTGTAGAGCTTCACTTACCTCTATCAGTTTGTCCCCTTTCATCACGTCCAGATGAAGCCCTGTGGGTGGTTTCCCTGCCCTGCAAGCAAAAGGTTAGAGACTCCTGTGATGATTTATTTAGTCTAAATACTGCAGAAGTCATATTTACCAAATCAAAGAGGAAATTAATTAAGAAAAATAATCAAAATTTCAACTACAATATTGTTAATTTGGTAAACAGGATTCAGCAAATGAAAGACACGATGCATTGATCTTTCTGGCTAATTCATTGCCAACATTGACGGGTTAGCCTGCTAGCTTTATTTAATGCTAATGTTAGCAACATATATGATTTTATCTCTGATAAAAGTCTCACATACACTTTAAAGTTTGTTGTTTTGTTGGTTTGCAACTAATAATGATCTACAAACATCGTGCTGCTACTTTGGCGTGTGCATTTGGCTCACCATGATGGACAATCAAAAGGAGGAGGACCGTCTTTGCTTGTTTTACTCGCCATCTTGCTTCAGCACATTAACGCCGAGGTGCATCTTGGGAGAACCGTGTTCTGTGTTGCTGGGAGTTGTAGTTTTATCGTTCTATCCGAAACCGACGCTTCTAAGCCACAACAATGGAATAAAATATTATAGAATACAAATATCCCTCATCATACGCAGTGAGAAAATGCAGGTGTTACAACAGCAACTGAGCATGAATATTCGCACAATATAAAAATAAGAAACTGTAAAGGCGGGATATATTTAAAAAAATAATACAATGTAGAAAAGACATTACTGTGATAACTCTTAACCTACTCAGAAATGTGCAGCTTAGTACCTTAATCGCCACTTTATGCTTTATCTAAGTGTAACAAAGTCAAATCATGTCAAGTTTATAGACTATAGCACATTTCAGCAACAATGCACTTCAAAGTGCTTTACATGATAAAAACATCACAATGAATAAACAACAAAGAAGCATTACTTTACAGTGGCAAAATAAAGAAAAGTAATAAACAGAGTAGAATTGTCCCAATTATTAATCAAACACAGCTCTAAACAAATGGGATTTTATCTTTGATCTAAAGGAACTCAGTGTTTCAGCAGATTGGCAGATTTCTGGAAGTTTCTTCCAGATTAGTGCAGCATAATGAAGCCATGTAATTTCAAGGTTAGAACATATCAAATAAAGTATTAAAATATTATTGTTTGCATGTAATCTGTTGATATTTGTATTCTTTAAGAAAAACATTAAAAACGTGAAAAACAGTTGAAGCAGGGAAGTTGATTATTATTTTTTTTTTTATTTCACATTACACCTCAAAGACTTTAAATATGTTTTTTTTTTCCTAGGAAATGAACCTACTCAAAAAAGTACAATTGATAAGGAAGAGGAAAATGAAAGTTCAGCATTTCCAGTTCCATGCTCCACCTTTTACTGCAATTACAGGTGCATATCTTTTGCAATAAACCTCTTAAAAGTTTGCACATGTGGAGATAGATAAATATGGCTGTTATTCACAACTCCTATATTTTACTGATGATCTGATTCATGCCCCACTTCCCCAAACATGTATTTTAAAAATCTGATCTTATTTTGAACATCTGCAAAAATTGGTTTTCAAGTCTCCTCCAAGAGTTCGAATCCCACTTGGGCTGAAATGCTTTGCAGTATGCTTTGATCTAAACAGAACAGGACAAAAACATGCTAAATTGTTTCTGAGTGGGAAAAAACAGGTGTTAGGAGATTCACATCTCCTATGTTTTACTGATGATCTGATTCATGCCCCGCTTCCCCAAACATGTATTTTAAAAATCTGATCTTATTTTGTTTCTGGAAACACTTTTCACATTAGACAAAAGTAAAACAGAGATAATTTCCCTCTAAACAAATAAAGGAAAGGGAATAAGTGTCACAGAAAATCAGAGTATTAGATATGTCTTTTCTTGATTAAACTCGGTACTAGATCACACCTTGACCTCCTTTTGCTTTCCATAACATATTACTGATCTCAACTACAAAGTTATCAATAACAAAAAAAGATCATATTCTACACTGCTCAAAAAAATAAAGTGAACACTCAAATAACACATCCTAGATCTGAATGAATGAAATATTTTCATTGAAATCTTTGTTCTGTACAAAGTTGAATGTGCTGACAACAAAATCACACAAAAATCATCAATGGAAATCAAATTTATTAACCAATGGAGGCCTGGATTTGGAGCCACACATAAAATTAAAGTGAAATGTTCCCTTTATTTTTTTGGAGCAGTATAAAAAGAAGCACTAGAGGTCTCCAACTCCTCATTCCAAACTTCACAGCATGAAAGTGGCACCGTAAAAAAAAAAAAAAGAAAGATTTTGTAACATTGGTTTGAAAACCTGAGCACCACAAGTTTCTCGCAATATTATATTTGCTGCAAGGACGTAGCACCTTTTGTTTGATGGTGATGGGGGAGGGGGATCAAACCAACAGATCAGGCTGTTGTTTGAGGTTTTTTCTGCCTCATTTCAAAACTGTGGGTTTACACTCTAGGCCTTTCAGAGAGACAGGAGAATGCTTTCTGCATTGTAGTGTCTCATTGCAGCATAGGGGAGTGGGGCTGCTTACTTTTCCTTGCATGTGTCAGTCTGCCTTAAATTTCCCAGCATAAGGATGTGTCATACGGCTTTAATATTTTGGAAAATGCTGATGCTTTATTAATTTAAATTGGTGATTATTTTTTCTCTGACTCTTGTTTTAAGTTACAACCTCTGTTTTTAACATTTTCTTTTCAGCACTTTCCATCAAGCTGAGCAAGATTTATTTATTTATTTATTTATTTATTTATTTATTTATTTATTTATTTATTTATTTATTTTTTGCTTATGGGTAGTTATTCAAGCAGACATAATATAATGTAAAAGCTTTGTGTTTTGACAAAAATAACAAATTCAGCTACTGGATATTTTGTCAGTCACAGAAATAGATTGTATTCTTTCAATTTAAGCACATTTTCTTCAAAAATGTCCCTCTTTTTCTTGTTTCAGTATGTTAGTATTCAAAGTAATGGAGCCCCACAAGTGAAATTAATGAATGAGTAAATTATGAATTAAAAGCAAAATGTTAAAAGCCAGTTTTTCCCACATGTTTACAATAAAACAGTGCCCAAGTAATAGCACGTAGACTCCTTCAGTAAATGAAAAAAAAAAAAAAAACCTTGTGCAAAAGCTCAGCTCCTGTAACTTCCTCATTCACTTCTGTGGTTTTGAGCTGTGAGTGCAACTCCTCTTTTTGCTGCACTCGTCATTTGCCGCCTGCCTTCATTTCTTATTTGCAGCTCAGTGAGCAGCAATGGCAGGCAACATTGCTTTGCCGCTTCAAGAATTCATCGCTTCACTGGACAACACCAGTTTGCCAAAAATTTTGCAAGTTTGTTCTGGAGTGTATTTCCAAGGTAAGCAATTCCTTTTTTTTTTATTGGTGGGAAATTCAAGTCTGACATTGTCCGAGTACAAGGATTAAACAATCAGAAATTATCACATGAGATTAGACTGGATTTAATTGTGTCTGGCTGCCTAAATAAGTGTAAGTCTTTTGCAAACCTTTATGTGAGTATGTTTTCCTCAGTTACTTATGGATCATTGGTTACTGTTTCCAAATACGACAGTCAAGAATTTGTTGCGGATTTAAATTCATGTTCCTCGAGTTTCAAGGGGGGGGGGAAAAGAGTCACAAACAATTATAAAATACAGGATCTTTCCTGACTAAATCTATCTTTCGTCCTGTTCTTGTCTTATTTTTCGTCATCAGGTTCGATATATGAAATTTCTGGAAGTGAAGTGTGCTTTTCTACTGGGGATCTCATAAAGGTCATTGGTATTGAACTGCAATCTGTTTCCTGTGAAGATGTCACCAACAATGAGAAGTTTGAGTTGCCAGTCACTCACACAGGTTGGCTGGAAATACACAATTTGAATAAAATTTATACGTTTTTTTAAAAAAATCTATTTGCTGTTCACTAACATACTTCAGTTTTTTCTAGGATTGTTCAAAGTGGTCCCCGAGCAGATGCCGTACACGTCAGTCGAGGAGATGTTGAGTCTGAGGCCCGTGGACCTGGATGATTCCCTTCCTTTTACCTTCGTCAGCCACTCCAAGGTGACCTTCGGCAGTCTCACGCTGGGGGCCGGCAAAGCGCTGACTGTGCTCTCAATCGAGAAGCGTGAAGATGAAGAGGATATGGTGCGTTGCCATGTAAAAGGCCAAACGGAGGCCTCAGCTGAGGTGTGCATTCCTCTGTCTTCTCGAGGGGAATTTTCTGAATGCGAGAGTGAGGAATCCTACACCCTGAAGGAGATCATGGCTTCTCCTTGCCTGCGCAGTCGAAGATTTCGCTTTGTTAAGACCACCAAGTGTGAGCGGATCCTTGTCCTGAGTCCAGTCTATCAGGTCCAGGCCATCATGAACAGTGAGTATAACCTTCTCTGTACTGAATATTTGCTTTAAAATGACATACATTTCAGTGTCTTCACAATAATTAATATGTTTTCAGTTGTTTTTAGTGTTGTTTTACGTATTTCAAGTTAGACACAAAGAAAAAAAAAAGGTTGTTTCAAAATGAACACAATTTGCTCTATAATAAAAAAATATATATTCTTGTTCTGGAGCGTAGAAACAAAAGTTTGATTTGAATGGATGTACTTTTTACATATTAGTGTTGAGATTTGTTTGGAAAGAACAGGAAAAAGAAAAATAACAGCAGTTGTCTCTATCAAAGCAGACCTAGGTTCATACCAGGGTGCCGTTCTTGCTAGAACTGCCACCGGTCCCAATAATTGTGGGTGGCACTGTATATCCATATTTGTTTGTTTTTATTATATGACCATCATTGCCATTTTGCAGCTCACTTGTGCTTCAAAGACATCAATATCAACGAATCTTTAAAAAACATGATCATGCAATTCTTAATCCTTTTATAACTTGTGAAATTAGTAAGAAATGCATTATAGGAGCTTTGAGTACAATGAAGTGTGGAAAGGCGCTTGTTTGGATTACATACATAAAAATGTATAGATATGTCCAGAAGGGAATGCAGGGGAGTTTTTGACCAGCTTGTTTATCAGAATCCTGGAGAGTGAGAAGATGATGGATGATGGGAGGAGGAGTGTGTTGGTACAGATGTTCAAGAAAAAGGGGGATGGTTTCATGCACAGAAAATACCCCACAGATACAGTTTTTGCTCTGTGTCTTTGTGAACCTATAGAGAAAGCACGAGAGGGTGCTCAGAGAGGAACGGTGATATGGTATGAGGAAGTCAGGGACGGCAGAAAAATGTCTAGAATAACATAGGACATGTGTGAAGAGAGTGACCCGGTGGTGAGGCATGCGTCGGAGTCACTGATGGGCTTCAGGTAGGTGCGGGGTTGCATCAACGATCAGCTTTCCTCTTGTTTGCAGTGGTGATGAATAAGTTGATAGGCGAGGTCAGACAGGAAGCTCTGTGGACCATGGTGGTTGAAGGTGACATCATGATTCTGGTAAAAGTAGAGAGCAAATTAAGAACAACAAGAGAAATGCAGGTTTGCTGAGAGAGAAGAGGAAGAAAAGTCAGTAAGATCAAGACAGAAGAATATTTGTGTGTGAATAATGGCTTGGAAGGTGAAGAAGCTGGAAGGAGCAAAAGTAGTGAAAGTGGATGAGTTCACATAGCTGGGGTCATTTATCGAAAACAGCTGACCGTGAAAAGCAGTGGGAAAAAAGAGATTGCAGACAGGGTGGATTGGATGGAGGTGAGTGTCAGGACAGGAGTGACGTACATGACAATGAGATAGCCTGAAAGAGGAAAAGGAAATACTGCAGCACAGGAGTGTAACCTGCTGTAATATATGGTTTGTAGACAGAAGCACTGTTTAAATTTCAGGACGCTGAGCTGGAGGTGACAGAGTTGAAAATGTTCTCACTGTCAGATTGCAACCCTCCGTTGCAATCATTCTACAATTTTCTACCCTCCTAGGTTACAGCTGAAACCAGATATTTACATTGTATGTTTAGACATCTGGCAGTTGTACTGATTTATGAACCAGGCATCTGAATTCTCTTGATGTACTGGTTGATTTGTGTTGATTTTCCCATAACATTATAAAAGGAAGTGATGTGTCCTCCAATTAACTCAGATGTTCTGAATGAGAGTCTTCCAAAAACATTGAGCTGTTTGATATTATGATATAAGATTGCTGACATTAACACTGGCATGTTAATGTCAGTGTATGTAAAACATTCCTTTCAATCCTTAAGATGTTAAGAGCAGTAAATGGAAATATTCAATTAACAGTGCTGCTATTTTTGCATCACAAAATGTTAGTTTAAATACTGAAAAAGAAAGGAGGTGTTTTATGATTCACTTCATGAATTGTCTGCCTCTTCATTGTATTTTCTCTCATTTGCACAGTGAGGAAGAACGTACTAAGGTTTCCGTCCAGCCTGGAGGTGGATGTGGTCGATGTCACTGATGTGTGTAAAGATGCAAACTTTGTGACGCCTCTAAACCTGACAGAGGTCCTGTCTCAGCCAGACAAATCATTTCCTGTCGTGGCAGAGATATTGGAGGAGCCAGAGAGCCGCTCTTTCTTCAAGTGCGCGTGGCTGCCAGGGCTGGTCAAGAGCACCAACCTGATTTTGCACAAGAAAGGAACTACGCCCATGGTCCTGTTGTCCAGCTTGAAGGGCCGGAAGACTCAGCAGTACTTCCTTGTGTCCCAGCAGTACGGTGGACGGTTTCGGAGGAGGCCAAGAGAGTTCAACTCGGTGTACGAGGTGTACGTTGCTTCAACGCAGACACACAGCCTGACGGTGAGCGTGACGAGGAACTGTGAGGAAGTCGAGGAGGAGGGTCTGCCAGGCCTCAGCGTTGGGGAGAGGCTACAGATTGTGGACTGCACTAGAATGGAGTTGCCTTCTGAAAACAATAAAGGGGAGAAGCAGTCTGTCGAGGCTCTTTTGTGTCATCGTCTCCAAGAGCCAGACGACGAGGAGGACGACGAAGAGGATGAGGATGAAGAGAAGGATAAACAGGAGGAGGCAAAAGAGGAGGTCTTACTGCCTCTCTACATGCAGGGTCACTTTGTAGAGGTTCTTGGTGAAAACAAAAAGTATAAACTCTGTGATTTGGGTAAGGAGTTCGGTTTGCCACTGGATGTCAAAGTGGTGAGTCGAGACACTGACCTAGAGACTGATCCACTAGTTGGGTTTCCTTGTCTGAGGATAGAGGGAGCAATGCTGGAGCCAAGCATTCAGGCAAGCTTTACAGACAAACCCGACCACTGTTTCCATCTCCTCCCGCAGTGGCTCTCTTTGTCCGTCTCTTTTACCAAAGATGCTCTTCCTTGGCCTCGGGACCAATTCCCCAAGTGTTTCACGGAAAAGGTTAGTGAGATGACAGATACGTTCTTTTATGAATTTCGCAAAAAGGGTAACTCGGACGAGGCTCCTCCACCTCGACCGCCAAAACGAGACATGTCATCATCAAACTTAGTCACAAAAAAATCTAAATCCACAAAGAAATCCTCCAAGCCAAAGAAAAACAAAGACAAAAGCGTACTGACGGAGAAGCTCAATGACTTGACGTTGAATCACAAAAAACGGCCCCCGGCTCCACTGCCTCCAGTGAGTACACCCCCCGTTTTCATATTTCTCTTTAAAGCTCAGTGCAACGTTTGTCTTTAGAAGCTTCAACTTGTTTTTGTCTTATTTTTTGTTGCGGTCACAGTCATTTTCTGTAATAACCAAAAGATTTCTGACTTCCTCTTCTAATGCAGGATGAACCTCCTCCACTTGTACCGCGAAAGTGCTCAGCCGCAGATATCACAAGCAAGGCCAAGCCAAACACTTACGTAAAGATAAACCAACCATTAAAAAGGGGTAAGAATTTTCTTCTTATATTTGAGATATTTTCCAAGTTAAAATTTAAACATGTTTTCTCTAAATTTATCTGTGAAGTCAAAGAGAATTTAAAAATGTCAGTTTCATAACAAATCATGGTAACAAAAGAGTGCAAACCCCTAAATTAATACTTAGTTGAAGAAACATTTAGTTGCTGGTGTTAGTCTTTTGTTTTTGGAGACTACTACCTTCTATTACCTTACAACAATCTGACTTGACAATATGTGATCACTCAACATGATAAAAGTTCTCCATATTTCTCAGACTGTGAGGAAAACTGTTGTCAGAAGCTCTCTTCAGAAGACCCACGAAATTGTTTTGGCAAATCTTGGCCATCTGCAAACTTTTTATTTTCTCTCATGCACTTATCTGGTCAAAGCTGTATACTTGAAAAGTTGTTTGAATCAAATCTGAATTTTAAAACATCAATCGTCATGTCAAAACTATCAGTTACATCTGGAAAAGTAACCTTCCATGATCGTTTCACAGCATTGTTTCCACATAAAATCCATAAAATACAAAATGTTTTTTTTTTTCTTCGTTTGTTTGTTTGCCAACAGTTCCATTTTGGATTCTTCACACCAAGTCACACACACTATTACAAGGCTATGGGACATTTTAACTGTTCTGTCAACCATAACCCTTTATCTACATATTTATTGTTGCACATAAAACATAACCAGTACCTCCCAGAAGATGCTGCAGCTTATTCTGACCAGTTTCAGTCTCTTCTTTTCCTCAGTTTTGGAGAGATGAACAGTTTTTGTAACGGTGACTGCCTTCTCTTTGAATATATAATGTAGTGGATATTAAACTAACCTTCTCCTAATTTCGTTCGATAAGATAGTTTGCAGATAAATTAAAATTTATTTTACGGTATACACATTTACAAAAACAAACCCGACAGAAAATAAACTTTAAATGTTAGCAGATGTAAACTCAAGACTGAATGCTAAAAGAATGTAAACTGTGCAACTAGGTTACTGTAGCGTTTTATCTTTCATACTTCAATATATACATTAAAGATGTATTTTGTAATGATTAATCCATATCTAATGTCTTGATTTCACCAAAAAAGGAACATTTGAACAGGGCCATGGACACGTAAGAGCCTCTACCATCTTGTCAGAAGTTCAGAAAAACATTCGGCTTGATTATTCAAAACTATTCAGATAAATAGAATGTGTTTAGTTTTCTTTGAGCACACGTTGTAGAAAAAGCAACATTTTACAATAAGATGGTTGGAGATGAAAAGGGATATAGTGAATTATTCTCTTTGATTAAAATATCTATTTTTTTCTTTCCCAAGACCACCTGTGTGATGTGGCTGCAGACGTGGAAAGTGACCATGACTACGAAACCGTGGATGAGACTTTGGTGGCTGTGGTTAAGACAGCTCAAGAAAACGTGATGTTCTATTAAAAAGAAAGTCCTATCTTGCAAACATTCCTCTGAGCTGGATCTGATGTAGACAGGGACTAAATTAGAAGAGTTGAGCCCTCGGCATCGTTCATGAGCTTTCAGACGATGCGATCATATCCTTCAGTCTTTTATTATTAGTACAGAGTAACAGTGTATTATTACAGTCTTGAGAAAGTACCTGTGTTATACTTGCGTTTCTCATATGTTCAGCAAGACTCCTCCCTGAATTACCTCTTTATTCCGCCAATGAAAAACTTTATACCAGTACGATCCTATTTCACAGCAGACTCGTTTGGAGTGAGGCTTGAACTTTTCCTCTAACCACTGATAGCTGAAAAGAGTCACTCTGCTTATCTCTTCATTATTTGCACCTGTTACAGGGTGATATATATTAGGCAGCAAGGTGATTTTTGAATGTCACATCGATGTGCTATCAGCAGTGCTGAGTGTAAGAATCCAAGAAAGTTTAAGAGTGCTACATTTTGGCTGCGTCTGAGTAACTCCAAAAATGCAGCTTTTATTGGTTATCCCCAGTCTTTGGTGGTAATTATTTATCAAAAGTGGGTCAGTGAGGAACAAGCACCATGTTTCATTGCTTCATGGGGAAGATAAGGCACGGACCAGTGGTTTGAGTCAACAGACAAGCTACTATAATTTAAACTGCTGCAGACGACATCACTGCTGGTTCTGACAGCATGCATGCCACCCACAGGGAAGCTGCTATGAGACCAGCAGTAACACTTACCAAAGCATTGTTACAAATAATACTTGCCTGATTGCTTTGGTGTCTTTAAGCGGATAGCACACACAGCCACATAGTGAGGAAAGTTCTTCAAACCATGTGGGGAGCACAGCAAGTTTTAGAAAACGTGGGATTTGCGGGGAAATCAAGCCCAGTTAATGGAAACCTTCAGAAGGCCGGGGGTATAGGATCATAATGTGTATTTATCACTCAATAGATAGTCAGCTAAATCTCCATCTAAGTTAGGAAATTGTCAAAGCAAAGCAAATGTCCCTCACTGTTGCTTTTGATGGGGCAATAGTGATGAATGGGCAATTTTCTCTGAGTTCTTAATTACTTCAAAATCTTGTAGGGTTTTGCGCTGTCGTGCCAAATTCATGCAGTTGTTCTTTGAAATTACTGGTCATTTCTGCTTTGCCACTCTGATGGCTAAAGTGTGGAGCTGTACCCTCCTGTCAAAAATTATTAGCTTCATCATTGTTAAAGGGAAAGAGGCTGTTGCTTCGAAACACTTCTGTATTCTCTTATCAGTTGCCAGTCACTTCACTTACTAAATAGTTCTTAGTGATCTTGTGTATATTTGCATGACAGCAGTTATTAGTTAACATTATTTAGAGACAGTGTGTCTGAATAGTGTTGCCTCCGTGTCTTGAGGCAACGTGTCTTGCGTTGCCTCAAGACTCCTTGTCTTGAGGCAACGCAAAAGTACTCCGCGCTGTTAAGGCCTGCAGCTGCAAAAACCTACAGCTGTACAGTAGTTATCTACAGTTCTCAAACTGATGTACAGATACTCAGTGGTATCAGTGGTTTTACTTACAGACATTTCAGTGCTACTTAAGACATACAGGTATTGAATATTTATTGTTTTGAAAAACTAACGGTATCTCATAGCTTTGTCACATTGCAACCCCAAAACACGTGACTTCCCAATAAAAAAAGAGTAACTAATGTTAGCGCTTGAGAAAAAGGAAACAGATAATAATCTGAAAAGCGTGGCATGCGTTTGTATTTAGTCAGAATTAATATTTTTACAGATTCAATTTCCCCAATATTTACAGCTGCAAATCTTTTGCAGTATTCTCAACCAGCTTGGCACATCTAGAGACTGACATTTATGCCTATTCCAGTCCGTCAGCTCGGATGGGACCGTTTTTGAGTTTTGCAGCAGATCCTCAATTGGATCTACTGTAGGTCTCGATCAAGGTTTAGTTTGGGCCTGTCAATGCAAAAAATAGGACATAGATTTCACAGTTCTGCAAGGCCTGGAAATAAATATGAACAGAAAAAGCCACTGTCAGCTGAACTGTGGTGAAAATATAATACGCACAAGCAGCGAAAAAAGCGAACTGCTTAAGTACATAATTCTTTGCTTCAGTCACAACTACTTAAAAAGCAGTTATTGTGCAAGACATTTTAAGAAACTCTATAAGAAGCTGAAGTGAAGCAGTGAGTTCTGCTGGCTGTGTTGTGCTGTGTTCAGTGGCCAGGCCAACTGCTATGAAAAATACGAGGCAATAAAAATTGTTCTTTGAATGCTTTGAATGAAACTGTAGCAAGATATTCTTTAATAAAAGTTGCAGTGTTAGAAAGGAGTAAATTGTTGAGATGAAGACAGCCAGAAGCGCAGATATTATGTATGATCTAAGCACGCAGCAGCCATACTGGACTTTGAAGTCTAGGTTGTTGTGAAATCACCAACTGTACAAACCGTGGTTCAGACTTCAGAGGACAATTTACTTTTACAGCCTGAAACATGGAAATACTGGCGTTTCAGTATATAGAAAATTCACAGTTAAACCACATCCTGCAAACATGCAGCCCCTGTTTCATGGAACAGACGATGTCTAAGCAAAGGGACATTGTGCTTGAAAAGTTGCTTCAGACGTTATTGATGTCAAAACATCAATAAGAACAAGCTGACCGAAACCAAGCTTCAATGTCTTTGTTTTGGCTATATTTGGATATGAAGCGTATTTCGACATTATTTTCAACATGATTTTTCTGCGCTGAACAGGCATAGGCATTTTCATAGAATTCATACTAGAATTATAGTTGCTTCCCTATTATAGTTTTAAGATGTCTCAAAGGTTAGTGGTACTTAGAATACTCAGTTTTTATGAATGTTTTTTTCTCAAAAGAGGAAAAACAAACACAAAAAGAGCAGAACTTCCTAGATTTGGGTGCGGTGCTTATTTAAAAGAAACAAAAAAAACTTGTAGCTTGCCTTTTTAGTACGAGTCCAAGAGTCTCCTGTGAAATACTCAATAGTAGTAGTCAAGATTACTACGCTGAAACTCACAAACTAATACTATCCTCGTGTTTCAAAAAACTTTTAGGGGATCTTTTTTCCTGTGTGGTGTATATGTCAGGAGGACTTTTGTATTTACTTGTACAATTCCTGTATTTATAGTGCAATACTAAGCAATTATCTATTGTATATAGGGCGTTTTTTGCGTAGCACCTGCAAAACGTAAAAGACAATTATACGACGAAGGTAATAGCTTCCTCTTTTAAAAATGCAAACTGCTATGACTCATTGGAGTAGGTAGGGGTTGTACTTGCCTGAAAAGGCATTTTTTTGTGTATGTCATTGTGCTATTGTGGCTATGCAAACTAAACAGAAAGTAGTCGACGGGAGCCAAACTAAACCACTTCAGAAAGTTCAACTCTTCCGCCAACCACAAGCATCTATAAAGACATGTTAAAACTCTGCATTTGGTTTTGATTAAATATTTTTAAGCTGTAAAGAAAAGTGTCAGTGAGTGCACTGGGCTCCATATGGCTTTTGGAAACTGTTCAAATGTGCTTCACGACAACTTCTGTGTGATCCTGAGATACAAATTCATGTTGTGGTTCAGGCTGAAGTAGAGAATCTACTTTAAAGCCGTCATTTAAAATGTAATAAATTTGCACAAAACAAAAACTGTCTCATGAAACGCATCAAGTTGAACAGTCAATGCAATAAAATGGGGAAAAGTATATTTGTGCCTTCTCTTTCATTTTTAAAATGTCAAGAAGTAATAAAAATATTCAAGAAAGTCTTTTGGTAGAATCTTTAATTTTATCAAACGTGAATTTTACATGTTAAAGTACATATGTTGCAAATTATTAAAAGTAAAAATTGTTTTACAGGACGCAGTACTTCAGAACATATAAAAACAGAAACGTATATGGATTCTTTTTCTGACTTGCACAGAGGCAGAAGTGAGCTCAGGGAAAACAGGATGTGAAATCAAAAGTTTCCTCAAACCCCATTTTCTTCAAACATTGGCCAGAGTACCTCAAAATAAATGACGGCAAAGTTTCACTTAGTTATTTGTTGGTAAAGGCATCAGGCGCTTGCAGTTTTTAGCTCTTTACTAATCAAGCCAACAGCTTAAATTCAAATATTTAACTCCGCAAGTGCTGCTGAAGTGGGTTAGTCGTCGTTGTCTGTTGATTTGTAGTGATCCTCGTCTATGGTTGAAAAGATGTGGCCTTCGTTGCTCAGGAATTCCACTGCTTGCCTATTAGATCAAAGAGACATTTGAACTCACCACCAATGGAAAAAAAAAAAAAAACATTTTTAGGTAGTAGCTTTTAACCTAATTCAAAAGGAAGAAAGTCGATAAAAGTTAACCGTTTAAAATTCAAAAATATCACTAAAGTTTTAACTGAACATATTTTTGAGCTTTTTTAGTAAAAAAAAAAAAAAACTTTCCAGAATTTGAACCTATACATTTATGAAACTGTAACCTTTCAGAAAGTCGCTTTAAATGTTTCTTTCAAATAAACCGAAGGTCAAATTAAGATCCTGAACTCATTTATTTAGCATTACATTTAAAAAAAAAAGCAACATAAAAGTTGGTTTACTTTGCTAGGAAGTACCAAGAAAACTAGACATCTACTCAAAAGGTGTTTTTCTTACTATCTCAGTTTTGTGACATTGAAAAAGAAGAAAAGAAAAAAAAAACAAGACAAATCTGTCCAATGATGACTAAAATTAAATATTCAAGTTATCTAGCTTGGTTATTCTCAATAGAAAAATCACATTGCTTCATTTAAGCAAAATGCATCTTACTTGATCACTGCAAGGCTGATGCCGCTGAGCCTTTGCTTCAGATCCTGAATGCTAATACCCTGAGGGTCCGGACAGCCTTTTATCAAACTCAGCACCTTGTCAGAGGGGAAAAAAGAACATTTATTAATTAACCAAGCTTTAAAAAAGAAATAAAAGATAAAAGCAACATGGAAGCTTATTAGGTTGAAATGATTGGAAACACTTTGTTACTTATTTAGACTGACCTGGTTCTGATTTGCACTTAACCCATTAATGACCATTAGTGGGTTCTCATTGGTGCCTGCGTAGCTCCCTGCGTTCATCCCTGGCCCTTGAGGGAGCATTGGCATGCTATTTACAGCCATTCCTCCACCAATACCTGGCTGTTGGAGGAAAAACAGAAGTGACACTGATGGGCTTTTTCCCTTAATCTGCAGCAAGTCCTAAAATGCAATTATCCATTTATATGAGAGAGAGTTGAGGGCAATTAAATTCCTTAACGGTGTGTTTAATGCTAAAATCCTGTGGGAGAAATTCTACAAAGTGTTCTTCTATGTATCAAAATCGATGTTAGAACAAGTCAAGCTAGAGAGCATCTGTGTGTCTTGCCAAGATTCTTAAAAGTTTTAGCTCTGGCCTTTGACTGGGTCATTCCAACATCCTGTATGAATTACAGTTTGATCTTATCTGCTCCATTTTAACTCCGTCTACTTAGGGTTGTTTTTCTGCAGGAAGATGAACGTCGCCCACCCAAGGTTTTTCGACTGGTATTCCTGCAGGGTTACGGTTCATTAGTTTCCATCTGTGTTCTCCGCAACTCAAATTAGCTTTTCTGTACTTGCTGGGAAAAAAATACCCACCGCAAAATGATGTCATCACCACCTCACAGGACTTTAGAGTGTTTAAAGTGACCTTGTGTTTGTGGGCAACTGAAATCCTTGCTTCTGGTTTTAGCTTCACGGTAGCTGAGGGTCCTTGCACCCCCTCCACAGTTACCTCCGCTATATTGAATGTTTCTCTGAATCATGCTCTCTCAACCATTCAGTTCTGGTGGAAAAATATCTAAAGAACATCAGTGGCTTTCAAAGAACATCTGTATTAATACAGAGATTAAAATGGTAGCACTTGATTTAGGAGTGTCAGAGTGATGTCTGACACAATAGGGCTGAATAATAAAGCATGTTATACTGTAAGAAAAAAAAATGTGAAGAGTGCATCTTTTTTCTTCCACTTCACAATTACTTGCTACTTTCAGTTGGTCTGCCACATAGTTCTAATGAAATGTACGCACAGCAGTTAAAACGTCACAAACCAAGAAGTTTGAGGGATTAAAAGTCACTGCTACACCCATGTTGGACTTGACAGTCATATGCACTTAGTAACTCAAACACAACGCATCTTAGTTCCTGTGTTAAAATTCAGGCTGCTTTTCTCTGAATTGCGACTGATGCAGAAGCTAAACCACAGTCACTCGGCTTTTAACGAACATCTTTAGTTTCTCAAAGTGGAGATTCTGGTTGGGTACACCTCATAAAACAACCAACTGATCGCATGATGGTCTACTGGGTTTCTGAGTATTTACTTAAATGAGGAAATCAAACAAAGCTGTGACACATATGAACTGAACCGTACTTCCTTATTCACACGTTTTAGTAACAGATAACTGACTCAGTCAGGATAAGCAGTCAGTGTCTCACCACGGTTTGAGGTTTGCCGAGTGCCATGTGCGCATGGACAACCTCCAGAATGTGCGATGTAATTTCATTCATGTCCTCCAGGGGCCTGACGCTGAATGCCACAACAGATCTGTGGTTCTAGATGATGTATTAAAAACAAAACAAAAAAACACCTTTAGTTTGGATCAATTCACATCGTTATAAAACAAACAACAGCAGCAGCTTCCTCATATAAAATTGACATGACAAAGACTTCTTCTATATTTAAATAAACTTCTGGCTATTGTGGCAGATAAAACCTCTTATCTGGCCATACAGGGTTACATTTTTAAGGTCAAACTTGTTTACCTGGAAGGACCGGAGATTTCCTGACACTTTCACATAGGTTCCTGGGGGCAACACTGTGCTGTCCACACTCGGGTCCTAGATATATATATAAAAAGCATAAATAAAACTGAGGAAAACAGGGTTTCCTGTAGGAATGTAAGACATAATCTATTTAAATATATTCAATGCAAAAAATATATATATATTCAAAGATACTCATTTGACCAAATTGCTGCACTTCTTTCTGCTGCAGAAGTGCACTGACAGAAAAACAAACAAACAATACACATGCAACCTGCTTAGTGGACGAGCCTAACAGATGCTAGCTGTGCTAATGCTAAACTCTGATGTTTGAGAGCAATTTATAAAGTTCAGTAAAGCTCCTCTATCTGCAACAGTGATGCACACACCTCCTTGACGACAAGTTAATGCTATTTGGTTAAATATTAGCTTTACTGACACAGAAAACTCAAAGATAGAGATTCACTGGTGGCCGGTTATGGTGATGCCAAAGCCGGCCATGGCTTAAGCAGTACAGGCACATGCTCAGGGTGCCAGCAGTCCAGGGGCGCCATAAAAAGAGCCAAGAGAAAAAAGTATGTTTGCCTATTCTTTTTAAAACATATGGGTAGAATTATTATTTCCTAATATTAAAGTTTTACACAGTGGTTAGTTTGTTTGATTGCTTAATTCTTTGTTGTTACGACTACATTTTTTCTAAATTTTTAAATTGGTCTGCTCATGTCTGCCCAGACAATTTGATGTTGTTAGCCAAGTTTCTTATCACAACTTATAAATGTGTGTACATAGTGCTAAATGTGAAACCGCTGACAGTTTTTCTTTCTTGTTTCTATATAGCTGCAAACTCACGCTCCACATTTTCAAGAAGTTAACCCTCAAACTAAAATAGCGGCACTTATGGCCAAAGTGACACATTTTGTTTGAAAACGGAAGCAACTGTACCCAATATTTAAAATATGAAACAAAAATCAAGCAACACAACTAGCAACCAAGTGTATGAACTCTTCCAAGCAATCATTACCTTATGGACAAAACAGAGCACACGTTGCACCAATGGCTGACATTGTAGACTGGCAT